GCAGCCACAAATCGCGGCTCGTTCGCATCCAAAAGATACACAAAACTGCAATACCAATTGGCCCCCATCCCCCATATGTATTGTTTATTTTGTTTGTTTCACGTGTGAGATGTAGGGATTGAGTGATGGCAAGGCAGGTCTTTGGGTTCTGTGTCGCCTGTGTGAGGGACTTATACTTACAGATATATTCCTTATTTTCTTGGAATGAAAAGTATCTCAATTACATTCCATGAATTACATTCCATTCGCTTGAGCGTCTCGAGTCAAGCATTAATGGGCCGAGTCATGCACGCGCAATGTATGTTGTTTTTGCCATTCTCGGTGATTCTCTTTTGCAGAATTTTACTTGTGCGTGTCGAGCATCAATGTGCCGCGTTTGTGGGCAGAAACTACAGATGTTCTAGAACTTTCACGCTAGTTTCTTTTGGAATAAAAGCATTCTTAGCCCAATGCTATTTATCTTATATATCCATCTTTAATAGTTATAATTTTCATAAAATTTCAAACCATTTTTAATCCTTTTTATCCCTCTGTATATTCCCCAAACCAAACACGAATCTGGTAAGCTCTTTTCTTGATCTAAAAACGATCTTTCTTCCATTGAAATTCTCCATTTTTGTGGCCTCCATGCTCAGATAGTTTTAACCTCCGAATATGTGTGGCAATAAATTTTGCATCGTAAAAATTATTATTTATCAAGCGTTAACGTTAATTTTGGTCTGTTGCTGTCTGGAGCCATAAATTGCCATCACTCTCGCTCCCCACACTGCCACTAGAGAATATATATTCGCCCTGGCCTATTGTCAGAGGCGATGACGATGGCAATTTCGCTGAGATTTTCCATGCACGAAATGTGAGCAAAAACAAAAAAAAAAAAACCAAGGAAGGAAGGGAAATATTTATGTTTACAAACTGATTTATTTCCAGTGCCTCTCTTACTCTCGGAACGGAACGGAACCGAACGGATCTCTGTGCTCGTTTCATGCCTCAAATTTATTTTGACAGCCACAGACAGTGTATCTGTATCTGTAGCTGTAGCTGTAGCTGTGAGCCGTGCACATGTGCATCTTGCATCCGTTTCAAATCTGTTTTGGCATCTCTGTAGCTGTGGAGTTTATTGCATATGCAAATTGAGTTGGTCTCTTCCAAGGAATGTCCATCTCTAATGGCTACTAATGTGTTCTTAAATTGGTTAACAATAGATTGGCCAGGCCAGGCCAGGCCAGGGCCAGACTTGCCATATTTATCTATCTATCGATCGATCGAGAATTGTAATCAACTTTCTTTCTTTCCAGCCAATGAAAAATATAACAATGGAAAAGTGTGCTTTCCTCTAGCCACACAGTACAACTAGACTCCCCCGATCGATTGGCTGCTCTCTTTCACTCTATCTGCATGGTTTTACCATTAAAAAAAAGTTAACCATCATAAAGTCAATGCAAGAAGGACCCAGTACCAGTTCCAGTGAGCCTGAGCCAGTGCCAGTGCCTGAGCCAGTGGCAGTGGCAGTGGAGTGCCAACCAAAAACCCAAATACAATGGACAATGAGCACATAAATCAGTGTAATTAATAGAAAAGCTAGTAGCCAAAAGACCGATCCCCAAACCGTATCGAACCAAGTCGATCCCCACGCATGACCACGTGTCCAAAGTCCAATTTTGGTCATTCGATTGCCAAATATCTTTCAGCCTCATTAAGAGTCCCCCCGAGTCACCGAGTCCCAAGGGGGGCCAGGCAGCAACGCAAATCCTACGCTCCTACGCAATGAATGGAAACTCCATTTATCAGACGTATAAACATTTTTCCCTATCGATTCTCGATTGGGTTTTCCACTCGATTTATCTCACAGTTTGAGGCAAACGCATAAATCCATCAACACTTGAGATAGCCCCCCACCACCACCCCCCTTCGCAACCAGCCAACACTTGAAATAAATATTTAAAAAGTGTATTTTTAAGCAAAAAAAAAATAACAATACAAATAATTTTAATGCTGGAACATCAATCAAGAGAGAGAGAGAGCGAGGGCCAGGCCGAAAGAGCAGCCCATGAGGTGGTCGTCTCCAAGGAACTAATTCATTCATTTGGACTGCCAAATCACTGGCCATTCATTTAAGCCAAATGTCCAGCCAGAGAACGGACAAGCCCAAATGGATCAGAAAACTTCAACGCAAAAAAGGGGTAAGGTAAGGTAAGGTAAGGGGTCGCATCGTAAAAAAAATAGTCACCTGCAATAAGTCAAGAGCAAAACTCAAGCAGTTTGATGCTTTCGTGGTTCTGCCTGCCTGTCTGCCTTGTCCTTCAAATTACAGCCTGATTAGACTCCAGGGACAGTGCGGAACACTGGACAGGAGGACCGCAGAGAGAGTCCTGCTCTGTCCAAAACCATTCTCATCTGTTGTGGCCAACTGAGAGAAACTGCTCGTCTGGTACCTCTAGGGGGAAGCTATGGGGGGAAGGGATCTGCCTGCCTGCTTGCTGATGTTGCTGCTGCTGCTGCTGTTGCTGCAGATTGATGAGCTCTGCGGCTGCCTCTAAATAGCTTCAACCTGAGCGAGTGAAAGTGATAAATATATGGCTGTGATTTGCCTTAAATATAAATAGAGGAATATTAATGAGTAGACATCAGAGAGCACACCATATACGCAGGGGATAGATGGCTGGATAGATGCGAGTATGCCAGGAAATAGCATTAATTAATCAATCAATCAATCATAACTAAGACTCTTAATTAATGTGCTTAATAATGCTTACCAAAAACTCTTTCGATTTTAGACAATAATTTGAATTTAGATTTAAAATTAAATTTGCTTTAAATAACATTAAATTGTTGACAATTTAAATTCTTTTTTATGCATATTAATTCCACACAAATTTTATTTATAAATTAATTTATAAATTTAATAATTAGAATCCTTCAAGTAAATTTTTTTTTTAATTTAAAATTTTTATAAAAATGTTTAAAAAAGTTTCCAAATATTTCTTTGAGCGTTAAAAATATCTGCAACTATTTTCAGCAAATAAATTGCATAAATTTAAGGTTTCCAGCCCAGCGATCGTGTGACAAAGTTTAGGGCGTACAGCAATAAAAAAATACAATCTAGAACTTATCGTAAATTATGGGCTACGGCAGAGCGTTAATCGCACATTTAACTCGGTTCGAATTGGTAGAGAGGGGAGTAGGGGATTTTGTTGGATTGTTGCAAGGGAAACTTAAACGTTTGGCAAATCGTAGCAGCAACAACAGCAGCAGCAGCAGCGGCAGCAGCAACAACGACAACAACTTTGTTCCAATGCGATAAGAATCATGAATGCAGGAGCAGCCGCAGCAGCAGAAGCAGTCGCGTCGATCGCTCCCTGATCCTGCCAGTGAGACACACAGCGACAAAAAGCAGAAGGAGTGAGGACCCAGTGAGAGATGCAACGGGCCAGAACATAGTCAGCAACACAAATAATTCGCTTTAATGAGATCGCAATCTTGGCGATTTGCGACAAAAACACACGCGGTTTCCATCTGCATATAAACTCGTATAGAAGTCGGAGTCGAAGTCCGAGTTTACCCATGCCCCATGCCCCATCTCCCAGCCCCAGCCCCAGTGCGTGCCTCTCTGATCAGCGCGCGGAGATGAAGATGAGCCCAAAAGTTGAGAATCTCGATCGAGATACAATCCCCAACTGACGATCATTGGGTTCAGCAGCAGCAGCAGCAGCAATCGATGCCAGCCATGGCCCTTGCTATACACTGCCAAAGGAGGGCGATTTAATTTTGATAAGTCTGTGGTTTCCATGCTTTTCTTATAGCAACAATCATTCTCGAAGGGTATCTGTATGTTCGCCTCAAAAGCCTCTATAATTTCGCTTCTTGTTATGGCTGTTCTCTGCTGCTGTTGCGCTCATGTTGGCTGTCAGCGCGTTTGACTTGTTACCTCTCTTTCTGCCGCTCTGCCGCTCTCCCGTCTGCACTGAGTTCTACGGGTTCTCTTCGTGGTTCTCTGGCTTCTTCTGCTCGCGAGGTCTTCCAGCTTGTTGACATGCTCAGCATGCTTAGGCTTACAGCCAGTCAACCAGCAGCAGCAGCAGCAGCAACAGCAACAGCAACAACCAAACCAAGCCAAAGTACACCCGAAGATGTCAATGTGTCGTGTGTTTGTGGCCTCCTCCTCCCATTTTGGTCAGACACATTCGACACATTGGACGTGGAATTTCAATAATTTAATGTAGACCTTGAATAGAACACAGTCTTTTGGGAGAAGACTTTCCATCAAGTGGAGGCTTTACCGCCCAGACATTCCATTTTGCACAGACCTTTGATCGATTGGCAGCACTACCGCCAACGCCTTCCACCGTTTGGCAGCACTCTTTCCATAAATTGGCAGCACTATCTCCCACTCTCTCCATCGATTGGCAGCACTACCTACCACGTCTTCCACCGATTGCAAGCATTACCTCCCACTCTTTCCATCCTTATCCCAGTCTTTCCATCGATTGCCAGCACTATCTCTCACTCTGTCTATAAAATGGCAGCACTATCTCACACTCTTTCCAACGATTAGCAGCACTACCTCCCACGCCTTGCACCGATTGGCAGCACTACCTTATCCCAGTCTTTCCATCGATTGGCAGCTCTGAAACTTTTACTCATCACGTCTTCTTTTTTCGTACAATTAATTGCTGCAATTAGTGCGACATGGCGCCTGATTAAAGTCGCCAGAGAGAAAAGAAAACCTCAAATGAAAGTTGGTCCCCAACAAAATGTGGCATGATGAATGTGCTACAAAAAAAGTGTAAGCCAACGAGACCAAAAATTCCAGGCTATAGAGACGCACATTTCAAACATTTCTATAGCCTGTAAAAACCTGGAAAACGTAGAGCACCTATAAATATCTATCCAAAATGCAATAGAACTCTCAGTTTGCCTTCAAGCTCCGGCAGAGTCGTATCCGAAAATAAATACAAATTTATGCTCCGCCAGCAAAAATAAATGTACAAAATTCTATTTGGATCATTTTTACAACAAAAATTTCTAACAAAAATTGTTACAAAAAATAATTTACTTTTGGGAAAGTTTCAAACACAACAAATAATCTCAATCATGTCGCAGTCGCGCGTGTCGGTGAATCTGCCCACGAACCTCAAGTCCTCCTCGCTGGTGAAGGAAACGAAACTCAAGGTGACATACCCGGTGGCCCGTAAGGATGAGTCCGTGAGCGAAACCATTCATGAGACCAGCGTGACGGATGTCTATCGTTGGCTGGAGGATCCCGAGGCACAGGAGACGCAACGTTTCATCGATGCCCAGAACGGCATTAGTCAGCCGTTTCTGGAGCAGTGCGACGAGTGGCAGAAGATTAATACGAAGCTAACAAAGCTCTGGAACTATCCGAAATATGGCACACCCATGAAGAATGGCAGCTTTTATTATTACTACAAGAACACGGGACTGCAGAACCAACATGTGCTCATGCAGCAGGCGTCCCTGCAGGAGGAGGGTCGCGTGTTCATTGACCCGAATGAACTGTCCACCGATGGCACCACTGCCATGAGCCAGGCCTCGTTCTCCGATGATGGGGCCTATATGGCCTATGGCCTGAGCGAAAGTGGTTCCGATTGGGAGAAGATACGCATACGCGCGGCCAAGGACTGCAAGGACTTTGACGAGGTGCTCGAGAAGGTCAAGTTCACATCGATTGCTTGGACAAAGGACAACAAGGGCTTCTTCTACGGCCGCTATCCGTGCCAGGATGGCAAGACCGATGGCTCGGAGACGAAACAGAATGAGCATCAGAAGCTATACTATCATCGCGTGGGTGAATCGCAGGACAAAGACACAATGGTGGTGGAGTTTCCCGAGCAGCCATCGTGGCGCACCATCAGCGAGGTCTCCGATTGCGGCAATTATCTGATTTTATACGTCAGCTATACAGTGCGCGATAATCTGCTCTACTATGCGCATATCAAGCCGGATGAGGAGATCTGTGGCCCACTGGAAGTCCATCCGATTGTGGATAAATTCGAAGCGGATTATGAATTTGTCACCAACGAGGGCACTCAGTTGTACTTCAAAACCAACAAGAATGCGCCCAATTATCGTTTGGTGATGATTGATGTGGAAAATCCTGCGGAAGAGCACTGGAAAACGGTCATACCCGAGCACGCGAAGGATGTCATTGAGTGGGCCTTGTGCGCCCATCAGAATAAGCTGGTGATTTGCTACATACGCGACGTAAAGAATGTCCTGTACGCCTACGAGCTGGCAACGGGCAAAATGTTGCAACAATTTGATCTGGATATTGGTACACTGGCGGGGGTTTCCGGCGAAAAGAAATACTCTGAGATTTTCTACAGTTTTTCGTCGTTTCTCACACCGGGCATCATCTATCAGTATGACTTTGCCAAGCCCGAGGAGAAGCCGAAAGTTCATCGTGAAATTAAACTGAATTTGGATGGATTCTCGCGGGACGCGTATGCCGTGGAGCAGGTGTTCTACAAGAGCAAGGACGACACTGATATTCCCATGTTCATTATCCGCAAGAAGCGCGACACCATTGAGCCGCGTCCTTGTCTGCTCTATGGCTATGGGGGCTTCAATCACAGCTTGATGCCTTCGTTTGGCATCACAGCGCTCACGTTCATGGACGCCTTCGATGGGGTTGTGGCATATCCGAATCTACGCGGCGGCGGCGAATATGGCATCAAGTGGCACAACGCCGGCCGGCTGCTAAACAAACAGAATGTCTTTGATGATTTCCAAGCGGCAGCCGAATACTTGACGTGCAACAAATACACCACCAAGGATCGTCTGGCCATCCAGGGTGCCTCGAACGGGGGCCTGCTCGTTGGGGCATGCATCAATCAGCGTCCGGATCTGTTTGGCGCTGCTGTCGCCCAGGTGGGTGTCCTGGACATGCTGCGCTTCCACAAGTTCACCATTGGCCATGCCTGGTGCTCCGACTATGGCAATCCCGATGACAAGGAGCACTTTGTGAATTTGCACGGCTACTCGCCGTTGCACAATGTGCACACGCCGCAGGACACATCGAAGGAGTATCCCGCCACATTGATTCTCACTGCCGATCACGATGATCGTGTCAGTCCGTTGCATTCGCTGAAGTTTGCTGCTGCCCTCCAGGAGGCTGTACGTCAATCGGAGTTCCAGCATAATCCGATACTCTTGCGGGTCTACACCAAGGCGGGACATGGTGCGGGCAAGCCCACAGCAATGCGCATCAAGGAGGCCACCGACATACTGTCCTTTTACTTGAAGAGTTTGACCATGGATACGGTCAATCTTTGAGCAGAATTCACACAGTAGCAGCCATAGCATAGACACACAGATACAGACCAGAGATACCTTGAGATACAGACAATACAGACAGCAGCAGTTACCAGCAGCAGCCCTAAACTAAGAAAATCAATCAATGTTGACGAAAATGAGCTTAAAAATAAAATAATAAAACTTAAAATTATGAATACAAATTAAATATTCATGCAGATTTATTGAAAGAGTTGTTTTTTTTTTTATTTGGAATGAAAAACAGCCTCCTTTATTCCATAGGAAGATAATCCAGCATTAATCAGAGTGGAAGGAGCTCTTCATGATCTTTAAGAAAGACTTCTACGCTTTGATCAGCCAGAAGCAAGCTCAGAAAATATCCATCAGAGAAGGTTTTCCATCGGTTTTCCTACGTGGATCATTCAGATTCTACTTTTTATGAGCAGCAAACCTTTTCTGAATATTCAGAGAGACTGCCTCTTTGTGGATCATACAAAAACTATCTCTTTTGGATTTTTAGGTGTCTTTACCTTCGTTTTTCAGCCAGTAAAGCTGATCAATTGATCTTCAGAGAGACTTCTGCAATGTAAATCATTCCAAAATGATCATTAATGCACAATCAAGACGCTTCTGCGCTGATCAGAGATTCTTTCCACATGTTTATCAGTCAGATTTCACCACTTAAAGTTCTTTAAAAGATCCTCTTTCTACTTTTGGATCTTTAAAGTGACACTCAGCGAATTTCCCTGCGTCGATCACTTATACAGCTACCTCATCACGCTTTTTTCGCGTCTCAATCTTTCAGAAACAATAGCTTTTATCCCCGATCAAGAGGATCCTAACGACTTCCCTTAGTTGATCATTGAGAAGCTATATTTTCTTGGACTTCCTCTTTTGAGTCTTCAGAGACTCGTCTTCAGGTGCTTCTTCTTATCCAGATCCTACACACCCATCAGAACCCATACCTAGACAATCCTGCGTTGATCAGAAACTCTTTCCCCACTTTGATCAGTCAAAAAGCTACCTCTTTGAGGCTGCCTCACTCGCAGCCGTAAATCAAATGTTTAATCAATTGAAATTTAATTAGAAAGAAGCAAAAAAGAAGAAGGCAACCAAAACATCGAAGAAGCTGTCATGGCGGCGATGGCTGCTAGCCTGCTTAGTAAACCCAAACCAACCCAACCCCCTACCAACCTAACCCAACCAAACCCAACCCCACATATAATCGCATGATAGTCGAACGATTAACGCTCAATACGGTCGCTGATCATGCAATGTGCGGGCTGGCAGGGGGAGTAAGTATCGCGAGACAGAGACAGACCTTTGGAACCGAGAGACAGAAGCTGGCTGCAAGGCTGGCAGCAGTCAGGCCGTGAGGCAGACCTGTAGAACTGTAGAACTGTAGACCTGTAGCCCACTGCCCACAGAGCACTTTTGGTAGGTAGCTGGCTTCTGGCTGCTGATCTTCTGTTGTGTAATGTTTGCTGCCAACTGCAGGCAGTGTCCCAGCATGTGTGCAAAACCGCTCCACTCTCACCCTCCCCTCCTTCTGGTGGCTGCTGCTGTCTGGGGCAGATCGTTCTCGGTTGCTTTTTGGTATCGAGGCAACGCGATCGAAAATGGATTTGTATCAATATCGACTCACTAACATGATTCCAATAAATTAATATGCATACATGGCAGGCAGGCACCACAGACATCGACGACAGCGACAGGCAAACGACGACGACTGTTGTCTGGGTCTCCGTCTCCGTCTGTGTCTCCGTCGCCGTCTCTGTCTCTGGGTTTGGTGCCTTCCACTACTCTTTGAGAGAGATCTCGATCGACATCGCAACACGATGATGCATGTGCAGTGTCTCTGAGTTGTGATCGTGTTAATGTAAATAATTGCCACAGCAACAGCCTCAAAGAGCCCAAACAGCCCAACCAGCCACTGCCACTGCCACTGCCAGAGTCACAGCCACAGCCACAGCCCCAGACATCGGGCATCGCTCGTAGAGATGTAATTAAAATCTCTTTCTCTCTTCGCTTCTCACTTTCGGCCTTGTTCGATGGCAGAGATCCCACTTGACTGATATGGAGAGTAAAAGACATGCACGCAAGGGGCACTTGCAGCATTGCAGCATTGCAGCATTGTTAAGGGCAGCTTTTGCTGAGAGTTTTTGGGAGTTTTTCGAGGATTTGCAGCAGTTACGAAATTCATTTTTAAAGTGTTAGTATTTTTAGTAGAAAATTTAAGTTTGGTGTACACAAAAATATGCGCTCCAATCGATACAGGCCAATATTCCAGCCAGACTGCAGATTGCACGTGACCCAAAAGGGGCATGGGATGTATGGGTATGGGTATGGGTTCTTTTGTGCCTACTTTACTTACTCGTATGTCAAGCAGAGACCCGAGTATCGAACCACTCCAAGAAGACAAGGAGGAGGAGGAGGAGTAGGGCGGGCGGGCCCCTTCATGCGTCTGAAACATTCTACTGTCTTTGCTTGGGTTTTATTTATGGCCGCTGATGCTAAAGATATAGCACACAGACAGGGTCTGGGCTGCCATGGGCTTATATTATTTGCGTGGCTTATTTTTAAAAACAGATATCGGGGATGCAAAAATAAATGGGGTGATGGCATTTCACAGGAACAGAAACAGTAACAGAAACAGCAACAGAAAACCTGAAGCCTGTCTCTGCCATTTCTGGCCCATATCGATGCATTGTTGATTAGTCTTTGCATCCAGAAATAAAATAAAATACAAATACAAATAAAATAAAATATATTTTTGGGTTAACTTACAGTCACGCACACTCTGCCGCTTACTCCTTCAATCAGAGTTGTCAATCAAGGTGCCTCTTTCTCGTTTTCGTTTGCGTTTTCGCCATGTCATTATTTGTGGGAACCAATCCAAGAAATTCTCTCTGTGCCTGTGCCTGCAAAAATCGTAAAATCATTACTTGAAGTCGGCCAGCAATCAATCAATCAAAGCCACAAATCAAACATGTCAAGTAACCCGAGACTCTGGACTCAAATATGCCATGAGTGGCTCTCTGTACGAAAAACAGAAAGAAAAAAATAACCAGTTCAAAACTCCATCACACAATGGCGCACACATATGACAGATCATCGACAGACGAACGGATCGATAGATACATTGTTGATCTCCGCTCCATCTCCCCCCAAAAAAAAAACACTTGAGAAGGTTTTGGGCTTTGGGTTATTTTATTTATAATATTCATTGGTTTCTTTTCTCTCCAGTTTGTGGGGGGGAATTGGAGTGCACGAACTTTTTGGAGTACACACAAATAAAGGTTAATGAGCCTTTTCCCCAACACTCTGGTGATCTCTTTTTCTGTTGTGTTTGTCCAAGTGAAATGTAAGTTTTTTTTTGTGATGACAAAGTGACAAAGAATTGGTCTAGATAAGATTTTGGGTTCATTAAAGGAAGTAAAACTATAGAAAATATATTTTCTATGGGAAAATTATTCTTTATGTTGTGTTTAATTGGGTTAAAGGTATCAGAAGTGGCCTACTAGCTGCCACTTAAACAACCGACGTGCGCTGTTCCATGACGCGTGGAAAAAGTAACCAAAAGGCATGGAAATTAGGTAGATCTAATGATTGGGATCGTAATATTTATTTAATATTTGCCATAAAACCACCCATAATCAACTCTATTCAACTCTCTAATTTTTAATTTAGCTTCCACTCAATGAACCGATGGGCGCTGCTGCATGAAGCATGAAAAAGATCAGCAGAAGAGAGAATTCTAGTGCATATCATGATCTGGGTCTTAATATTTCTACAGTATATATAAGAAAATGGTTCCATAAGCAGCTCTAGTCCACTTTTTCTGTTCATAGATTTCTTTTTCTCCCGCTTAAGCAACCGACGAGCGCTGCTGCATGACCTAAGACTCGAGCAAGCAGCAATAAGAGTGTTCTAGTAGTTTAATTAATTTGTAGTTTACTATTAATCCATCATACAATAGAAAAGTTACCATTATCAGCTCTCTTTATCTTTTTGTCATCCCAATAAACTCTTTTTAAAGACAATTTTCATACACTTATGCAGCATACTCCCTCGATCTTTATTACCTCTTCTGATTACTTCCAATTTTCACCTTATAACGCCTACAATACACTCCCCGCAACGATCTATAACCACAGCGATGATCTTTCACACTTTACCACATAATTTTTCAATATTTTCTTACACATTCTCTGGGTCTGGATTGTTTCTCTTCTGCTCTTTGGATGCGTTACGATGTTTGTGTTCTGCAATTAAATTCGTATTCTCTTACAATTGAGCGCGTTCAAGTGGAATTTCCACGAATATCATCGATATGGGATACGCTGACAAGCAAAAGATTGAGATGCAGATGGAGATGGAACACGGGACGGACTGGGGGGCAGCAGCTGCAATGTTTGCTGTGTGCTTCTAGGTCCATTTTGTGTTGTTATAGGCCCTAAAGTACTTCGGGGCCACAGTTCTGGTGCCTGGTGCCTGGTTCTGGTGCGTCTCTGTGTGTTTATCAATGGGGGAGTGCAGCATGCAGCATGTAGCATGCAGCAGTGGTGCCTCTGAAGCATCGTTCATATCAAAATAATCAAATTTTTGATTGAGTGCAGTTAGTGCGTCTGTGTTTACACGATCATCATCGATCGTAGGGAGCGCAAGAGAGCGAGAGAGAGGCAGATCCATATACCAGATCGAGAGCTTCGATTGCGTTTCGCTGCGTTTTTTTTTTTTGTGTCCAATCATGTTGTTGATATTGATAATGACATTGATGGCATCGAATCGAGAGGGCCTGAACAGATCTACCACAACTCGATCACCAATCTTGAATCCCCCAGCAACTCGAGTGCGAATGCATTCGATTGTTGTTTGCCCGCAGATTTAACTCTGCTCTGGCCTGATGTCTGTCTGTCTGTCTGTCCGTCTGTCTGTCTGTCTGTCAATCCGTGTAGCTGAAATCCGGCACAGTTCGATGGAATTCGATATTCGAAATCAATTCAAAGCTGTTGTGCCTTTTCAAGTTGAATGATGATATTGACATTACCCCCGAAGAGGAGGAGACACTTAAAAATCCGTTTTGCTGTGTAACACAATTTTCATGTAAATGATAAACGCAAG